ATATATATATATATACACACACAATATCTGAAAATAGTATTTAAATATGCAATATACTTAGTGTATTTAATAATAATAAATTTACTTTTTTTGGGATTTTTATATAATTTTCTTTTGATATATAAACAAAATTGATTAAAGTTTAAACTTATCATAGTATATATCTTTTTATCTTTTTTTGTATAATTTAAAATAATCATTCACTGATTATTATTATTATCATTCAGGTTGAATATTTTTTAAAATGGAAAGGATACTCAAATGAAGAAAATACATGGGAGCCAGAAGAAAATCTTGATTGTCCAGATCTAATTGCACAATTTGAAGAACAACGAAAAAAGAAAGAAGCAGCTGCAGCTGGTAAACGATATGAAGACAAAGAACAAAAGAAACGAAAAAGTTCAAGTGGCCCTTTACCTACTCATACTAAAAAAAAAGTAACTGAAGAAAAGAAACCTGAAGGTAATATTTGTTTTTAATATTTAATTAATATACATGTAACACATTTTTAACCACTTTACTTTTACTTTACTTTTATATACTTTATTTATATATGCTTTAATTTTATGTAGGTTTTGATAGAAATTTGGAACCTGAACGTATTATTGGTGCAACAGATTCAAGTGGAGAATTAATGTTTTTAATGAAATGGAAAGGAACAGATGATGCAGATTTAGTTCCTGCTCGAATTGCCAATGAAAAATGTCCACAAATTGTAATAAAGTTTTATGAAGAACGATTGACATGGCATAGTCCTGCTCATGATGAGGAAAGTTCAGTAAAAGCTGATGCAGAGTAGCGTCCAGCCTTCCGATATACATACACAGCACGCTTTAGGATTTGTCGCATATAACAAAAAATAGCGTGTACAGAATGAAAAATATGAAGATTTATTGATTATTGCACAGTAATAATGTTATCAATTTTTTTTTTTTTTAAATGATTATTGATGAACTACTAAAATTGAGCAAACAAACATAAATACTTCTGTCATTGTTAGTAAAAAATAATTTACAATATATACTCTTATACTTCCATAAAATGTATACTTTCAATTTTTTTTGCAACTGTTAATTTTTATATTAGCTAGATGGAAATTGATTCTTTATTGTTATTTTTTATTCTTAATTTAAGAATTTAAATTCAAAATGTAAATATAAACAAAAGAATCAAATGTGTATTAATATAAAGTAGAATTATTTATACTTCGAATATAACTTTTTTAATATTATTTCATTTATACAAAACGATTTAATTTATAATTAATCGTTTCATATTCATAGATAAAAATGATTATATATTAATTGTTCCAGTTGCAAAGAAATTGAAATTCGACTTTTTTTAAAATACAACATGACAATGTACAGTACGTACAGAAATATGAATGAAAAATAATATCTTAACATTTTTTTAATGTATAAAATTCTTAAATGACAAAAATATTTGAAAAAAAATTTCTACATTTTTGAAATTTGAAATTAAATCTAAATGATTTAAAATCTCTGTTAATCGTGTTTAATAATAGTAAATAATTTAAATTATCTTTTTTTATAACATTTAATAACAATAATTCATATTGTAGATTAATGTTTTCTTGACTAGTAATTATAAAAAAATATTTTAGTATATAAGTGTATGTGTAGTTTATTAATTTGTAAGAAATATCAATTAAAAATTCATTTTTTGTAATTTATAAATGTCTTGATTAAAAAAATTCATATAAAAATTAACAATTTTTAAATACTTTTATTTTTAATTTTATTATAATTATAATTTTTTATTATAATTAATGTTTTATTTTTTTTACATTTTTTTTTAAAATTTTAGAATTTTTTCGTTTGTTTTTATTTAAAGAATTTCTAAGCTTCTGATGTCGTTTCATTTCCCATTCTATTTGTTTAAAACTTGCACCATCTATAGTATTAAAAACATCTGTACCACCAGGTTTGTTTTTTTGTTTACTATGTTCTTCTAATATTTCTGCAAATTTCTCAGCTGATACAAATATATTGTTATCAATTCCTTTTAAATTTTTATTTTGTTTCTTTATATTTGATTGAGTATCTTTTAAAATATTTTCAATGCTATTTAATTGAGTATCTTTTGTATCTTCATTAAAGTCTAAATCACTTATATCATCTAAATCAGTATCACTTAAATTTTGTAATTCATTATCAATTTCATTATTTTCATTTTTTTCTAAATTTTCTTCTGATTCATATATATCATCAGAATCATTACTTGCTTCACTTTTAATATTATCATCAAAATCTTCATCTTCTTCATCTTCAAAATCTAATAATTTAGAAAATTTGTAATTTATATAATAAAATATTTTTAAAATAATATTCAAAATAAAAAATAAAATATGAAATTTATATACCTTTCTTTCTCCCAATTTGAATATCAGCAGCAATATCTAAATCTTCAAAATCTTTACCATTTGTTAATTTGTCCAACATATCGTTAAATTCTTCACTATTAACACTTTCTATATCATCATCTTCATCTTTAAATTCATGCTTAAATTCTTTTTTCTTTTTTAAATAGTGATATAAATATAATTCATCAACCGGAATGCGTTCCTCTTTTTGATTAAGATATGAAATACTATCAATTGGAATGCATCTAATACCTTTAGGTGTATATCCTGCTCGTTGTGCAAGAGGATCATTTTTTTTCTGAACTTTTTTACTTTCTAATTTTTTTGGATTCTTAAAAACATAACGATCTAAAAAACGCATTAAGGATAAATCTTCTAATGGATCACCCATATAATCAATTAGTTTTCCTGCAAATATAAATAATATATAATAAATATATTATATATTAATATAATAAATATAATATAATATTAGAATAATATACAAATTTAATTAAATAACTTTATATAATGCAATACCTTCAAGAATAGTATTTGCAAATAATGCAACACTTGGATGATAATGTTTAGATAATGTTACTAATTCGGTATTTGAACCTTTAGTTATTCCAGCATAAAGAGGATTTCGACAAAAAGGATCATATTCTTTGCATGTATTGAAATCAATTTTTATATTACTTTCCATTTCATTTTCAGATTTCATTTTTTTATCTATATTACATGTAGATGCAATGTTCATTAATAAAATAGAATTTTCTAAGTTGGATTTATCATTAGATAAATAAGAAATATCTTCTAAATTTAATGAATTATTTTTAGTTTCAGAATCATCATTTTCAATTTTAATACAATCTTGAGATTTTAATAATAAAGTTTTTAATTCTTTATGTGTATGTAAAATTTTAGATATTACATATAAAGTAGCACATGCCATATTTGCAGGAAAATATAATATAATTTGTAAAGTTCTTTTAATAAAAGCATATGAACGTTGTTTATTATGATCATTTTGAAGAACTCGAAATAATAAATTAAGAAATAGTGCACGTTTATTTGCTATTCCAATTTGTAGATCTAATAATTTCCGATAGAAAGCAGAATAAAATCTATTTGATTGAGCTTCATCTTTACCTGTAACCTACATAAATAAAAAAATTAAAAATTGAATATATTATAATAAA